GGGGGAGGGAAGGTAAGAACCCTTACCCAGTTTCTTTGTGGGCATATCTCAGCCATAGCACCTTACATACTGTGATGAAAAGCAATGTATAAATGCCTTCTGTGCACAGAAAGGCAAGAGAACCAGTTATGAAAAGTGGCAGAGCTGATTCAAAATGGCAAAAATGGAGAGGTTTTTAATCAGCTTTATTTCTGGTACTGTCCTCACCTCCTCCAGCTGCAGAGGCAGTGCAGGTTGGTCCTAGCATGTAAAGACTGGGGATTTTTCTCTCGCAACATGGAAATCTCACTGCAGGTAAATGTGTGCAATACTGCCCTTGCTTCTTTGTAGGTGGCCACTGGCACAAAAATTGAGTGAACAAATTGTTTCTTATACTCGACTAAAGCGTTTCGTGAACTAAGACTTGTTTATACACCCAGCTGACCAATATGACACCTTGTTGCCTGCTACACCTGTGCTGACATCAGAGCAAAACAGCATAGATACCAACAGAACCAGAACTTGATTCCCTATGTGTAAAATGAGCTCTTGTGTAAAGCCTCATGTGCAGGCAGAGAGAATGTCTGTTACATGTCTCAAGTTTAACTGAGTGTCTCATCTAAGCTAGGTTACATAAACCAGGGGGCTTATCCAAAAGTTTTTCAGATTTTATTTCTTTAAACAAAAATATTCATATTAAAGCTGAGTGAACCAAATATTGCACAGGCAGAAGGAAGCCTAATGAGACAAAGAAAAACAAACTTCCTATAATTGAGTCATGCTGGAAGCTTTTTTTCCCTTATGTCTAGAAGTCTGAACATTGAAATTGGTGCAGATGAAAGGAAATCTTGCTGAAGGAAAGGCACTCCACTAGAGCAAGGGGTTCTTGAAGAAATGAAGGGACTTAAGGAATTCATGAAGGACTGTATGCAGTTGAAGTGCAATACTGTGATTTTACAGCAGGGATCTGTGTCTTTTCTACAAGTAGAAATGCTTGGAAGAAAAAAAAGATTTTGTTTTTTAAAACAGGAGGAAACAATTTGAAGTCAGCTGACTGGTTCTTTTCCTGTCTTTGCTAGCAACTGCCTGTGTCATTTTGATCAAACCCCTGTTTCTCATGACATCTGTTTCTAGATCAGTGAAAAGGGACATAAGACAATGCTGTCAAGCTTAGCTGTTCAGGCTGTGTTTCTGCAGTGGATTGTGAGTTTACTGATACGAATGCCAGATTAGGATATTTGTTCACTCATTGATTCCTGAACTTTTTCCAGTGAAGATGTGTTTCTCCATCGAAATGGTGCTCAGATAGGTTTTTGAAGAATTTGCTTGCTTTTTTTGGGGTAATTTTTCACTAATAGATGCAGTATGTGGGCTCCTATTGGTCTACAGAGCACAGTTTGAAGGTCACTGGACTAAGGCAGCTTTTGTAGTAGATAAGACTACACTAGAAGCACTCTCCAGAGAGCAAGGATGCATCATTTTGTAGAAAAAAACAAAACAAAACAAAACAAACAACCTGGCTGCCATTTCTTGGTCAGAGTTCTGCGAATGCTAAAAGGAGAAAGATCATACTGCTAGGAGGCCCAATACAGCAACTCCTTTCTTCCTGCCTTTAAAAGGAATGCGATTAGGGTTAAGGAAGTTATTCTAGGTGGGATGGTAAGGAAATGGTGCTACAAACTGTTGAATGTCCATGTCAGCTCTGGAACCAGAAAAGAGAAGGGTGGCAGTTTCAGCATGTTTCTTGTGTTGTGGAAGGGCACTTCCGAAATTGCTCCCTAAGAAACCTTCTGTTTCTTCTCATTTAAACCACAAACCATGGATTTTCCATAACTAATTTTCATTCATAGTTTTGTGATGTTCAAACCTTTCAATGCAGTGTAATTTTCTATACAATTACTGTCTGTAGTTTTGTGAGGTCTGTTGATCACACTGTGCTGTGGTCATGGTTTGGTTTGAGCTCACAGTTTTAGTGATCACTAGACACATCAAACAGGTGGAGCCAAACCTGGGGGACATACATACAAAGTGAGATCTACAGCTCAGGATCTATGTCTTCCTTCACGCTGTAGAAGAAGGTGGAAGCTCCATGCAGAAAGCAGCTGTGGGAAAAAAAGATAGTTCATGACTGCATAGATGGCAGAGATCAGCTTTAGTTCTGAAAGTGCAGGTTTAGGTTTCCGGGCAAGTTCTGTTACCTACCATAACTCCAGATGTTCTAGAAGTGTTTGGTACCTCTAAACAGTACGATCTCACTAGGTTCAGTGCCACTTGCCTCAGTGAGTCCTGCAGGCTCTGCCTTTACATGTATTTCCTTTTTGTCAGTTCTGAATTTGCCTCCTTTCAACTTCACTGTATTAAAGTGCGATAGGATAGGATATAGTTCATCCTGCTTGTTATCTCTCCACTCTAAGAAAGGTGGTCTTTTCAGTGTCTTCAAACAAGATGTTTCTTGTGACCCTACCTTGAGCAAAAAGTACAATCATCTAACACAATTTACACTACGCTGTGCCCAGGTTCTAAGCTCATTGAGATGGGAATAAATATGACACAGCAATTTGCAAAGACAGGAAAAAATAGGTTTTGACACGCTGGCCTTTGTTAAGCCTGATAGTTTCAATGCTAATTAGCCAGCAGATGATCTATGAAATATTAAATAATATTTTGTCACTTAATAAAATTTGTCAAGGTTGCACGCTAATTTTCCAGTGAAATTGATCATTTCAGTGAACTAACAGCACTATTGATTTCAAATGGACTCACCAGCAAACGCATCTTCATTGTTTGTTTTCCCAACTGCCAATTTCTAGACATATTTATTATTCATAAGTACTTACCATATTACTATGGGAAGAAATTATTTATTCTTTGTGCCCATATGGTATAGCTTTTGGTCCTTGAATGGATGGCTAAAGTTTTTAAATGTTTGGTTTAACAACTACTATTGTTTGTACGTGACAGCACAACTGATTGTGTTTAGAAAAACAAAGCAGTATAACTGGATCATTTAGATATTAAAGAGGCTTAAAAGACATTAGAAGAAATACATTAGTGTTGTTTACTCATTCGTTGACTACTCCAGTCTTTTCCATATTAAGTATCTTTAATATTCTTCATACATATATCACTTTACACAAAATTCTGTATGAGTTTTAATTAATTTAAATATTTTCCACAACACTGAGAAGTTCAACAACTAGCTAGTGCATAAAAATCAGAATACAAAAATGACTCAAAAGAGTCCATGTTAGTGATCGCACTGAGTGTAGTTGGTAAGACAAACAAGCAGTAAAACAGATGGAAAGTCTATTTGATTGTTAAAATTATTTTCCTGTAAATACTGAAAGAGATTCGCTGCAGTCAGATTTTTAAACACAATTTATAAAAAAAACTGCAGTAATTTACAAATGAACAAGCAAACAGCAATGTGTAACAATTACAGACTGACTAAATTTGGGGGAACCATTTTCCTAACAATTGCCACTTACAGGTGGCATTTTGTAGATATGAGAAACTTGGAGATCTAGATTAGAGTTATATGTATTTCTAAATCATTACAAAGACAGATGGTTAGATAAGAATTGTAAGAAAGACAAGGAATGTTGTTCATTGATTAAGCTCATGTCAATAACTCTGTTAGTTGCCCTGGAATACACTATTACTTAATAAGTAGCTTGTTAGCAGGGTGCAAAGGGTACTTCTCTGCTTTCTGCTTGTCTTTGGGGCAGGACACACAGCAACCTGTTTTTAACCTTAAGTAAAAACATATGATTCTTTTCCCTCACTCTGTTACCTGAGCACTGGGTGAAAGAGTCAATGTACTGCCTTTCTCCTGCTCGCTCCCCATCCCTCTGCCAGACACTAGAGGAGAAGCAGGCATGCACCTAAGAAATACCAGGAGTCTGGGCAACCCTGACAGACTGGGAATGGTTATTTTTGGTACATCTAAATGATGAAATGGAGAAGAGACTTAATTTAGCTCTTGCAGTTTGGAAAACAGACTCTCCCAACTACTGTTAATTCTTCTTTAAGATGTATAAATAGGAATGTACACAATTTCCAAAGGAGTAGATATGCCTCTTCTATCTTTGCATAAATGCTTTGAGGTGGTTCACATGCCTTCAATACTGACAGCTGGGATTTTCTAAGGGACCAAAGGAAATCTCTGTGATTTGCAGCTAAATCTTAAAAAACAGACACTGCAACAACAAACATTTACATTTGACCACAGGAGAGGAAGCCAGAAACCCCAGTGAATTATCCAAATCTCACCCATACCCAGAAAGAGTTGGCTTTCACAGAATGGGCCAAAAAATTCAGCATGTTGAAAAAGGAATAACTTTGAGCTATGTACAGGGAACCAACCACTGGCTATACAGACTGAAATTAAGTTCTCATTCCTTTCTAGGGTTTACATTTGGGGAGGTAGCTTTCTTTCCC